CCGCTACCACCATTGCTGAGGGGCTCAGCCTTGGCCAGCGGCAGGTCCCTCTTGGAGCCATCTGGAACTGGCTCTATCGGACATAGGGGAAGTTTCTAGCAGCTTCTCACAGAAGCCACCCCTGTAGCCCCCCCCGCTACCAAAACCTCGCCATGCAAAGCCAGTACATATTGTTTGGGTTATAACCAGCACAGGTCCTCTGTTCAAAGGAGCTGCCAATGTGCCTTTAAAAGGTGATGTTTGCTTTTTGCACCACTGTTGCTATAGAAGATTGTGGATGTTAACTGATGCTTTTGTATCCTTTAAAAATACAATTAATTCACTGAAGAATTGCAAAGAACATATGGAACGGAAAAAATAAAATGGACTTCAAAGATAAGGTGTTACTCAACAGGTGAACAAGAGATAATTGACTTAATGGAACAGCACAGGCACAGACTGATGAGAGGTTAAGTTAGCTGAGGCTAGAGAAGACAAAGACATTACATGGGCTGTATGAAATTCAGAGAAAGGTGGGAATTCATACAACAAAAAAAGAGAAATCTTCAAGCACACACACAACTGAGCAGTAGGGAAAAGATGATATGGTATGAGGTTTTGTAACACTTCTAGAAGTGGCAGTACGTGTGGAAGCAGATGCCAAGCGTAGTGTCAGGGCATGATGCTCCAGTAAAATTATATTCTGACTAATGTAAGGACAAGAGAGGAAAACATGTGATCCAAATCCTTGTAGCCAAGAGAGATTTCAACCTTAGCATTCGGAGGAGGTTCATTTTGTGCAGAATGAATCAAAGGGATTCAAGAAGGGAACTGGCTAAAGAAATGGAGTAGATTGTGGAAAATGTAGATGACATCAACTTGCATCAAAGTAATGTCCAGTGTTGAGACTAACAATGAAATGACTCAAAGGTTTAAAAAAACAACAGAAGGGTCAAAGAGGGATCTATCTGGCACTGTGGAAATAAAGACCACAAAAAGATTTAGCCTCTATTGGAAATTACAAAGGAGGCACTAGAGAGTCTTAAACAGTAAAAGAAAGATTATTTGCTCCAAGTGCTCAAGAAAAAGTTGAATGGAGCAAGAAGTGAAGAGCAAGAATTTGAGGTTAGATTTACTTTAACCCCCTGCTCCATACACATACACACCCCAACTTGGACAAAAGCTGAAAATTAGAGATTCGTTGATTTGTTTTACTCATTCCTAGCTGAAGTACCAGGCATGAGCACGAAAACTGGTGCCTCGGCTTCTTCTACTACCAGCCAGGAA